TTTTAGTGACCACCAGTGTTCCCTCTAAGGTGTGCGTGTGTGCGCGCGCACACAGCTTTCAGAGGGTGCGCACACGCATAGATTTACTGCGCACAGACGTATTTCGATGTAATGTAACAATGTGCTCCGTTGGCAGATTGAGAAAGTCTGTTGTTGGCCCACTTATTACCCGGTTAGAACGCCTAAATTTCTTCATTGGTTTTTGCACAAATATTAGTTATTTCCAAAAAAGTGCGCACATACCAAAATTTCTGCGCACACATACTACAAAAAATTAGAGGAAACATTGGTGACCACCTTTTATATTCTATATATGGAACGAATGTAAATACATAGCTTGTTTATCTTAATGATGTTTGCTCACATTCCAAGCTCACAAATAGAGAAGGTGTATTTGTATGTTTGTTTAGATTTTTGATCTTAATTTGGGGAAGGTAGGGTAGGTATGTTAATGAATATACACTATGGGTTTGGTACAGTATATATATTCTTGTGAATGGAAGCATTTGGGTGTTAGTGGTCAGGAATACCTGAGTTGAAATCTGTAATACGTTAGACAGAAATAATACTAGATATATTGAATTCAAAATTTCTGAAATAATTTAATTTGTTTAATAGCTATACACAAGCTGTCCAAAAAATCTGTCTGATTTCATAGTAGTCATAATTGAAAATTTTATTTACATTGTTTGTAAAAGTTTTTATTTTGCCTTCTCATTTATCATACAATAAAATTTATTCAAACTTACAATTGTTATTTCTATAAAATTTGGCAAAATTTTTTGGACACCCTGTATAAACTCTTGCATGTGAGCATTATTCGTGTGTTAGTGGGCAGTGATGCCCAAAATGAATGCGTTTTAAATTAGTTGTATACAATATGGTAAATTTTTTTGATTTTATGGTTAATTAAAATTTTCTAATGAAATTTTGAATTTTTTGAATGTGACCATTTGCATGTTGATGAGGGGGTGATGTCCAAATTTGGCCGCTCCAGAAGTGTGTGTACCAATATGGAGGTTACTAATTTTGTTCGCCTACTTTACATCAAGTTGTATAATAGGACTGAAACCAATGAGCAGGGGGTATATTCACCTGGCTAACAAAGACAGTCCCAAACTTGTAATAGAACAAAAATAAGGAAAATCGGAATAAAATTATGTCCTAACCCTAACCTGGTACACATACTACGAGAGTAACGAAATTAGTATGAATTTGTTACAGTGAATTTAATTTTGAAAATGAAATTAAAAATATACTCGTTTTGAAACCTGTTCAATTGTTCCTTTTTTTCTGTTTTACGAAGTAAATTAGCGTTAGTGTACACCCTTGAATCTCTTGGTCATCTTTGCCCTTGCATTTTCCAAAAAAAAGTCTTTTTTTTGGTGTAATACTGGCATGTGTGGTTTGCATGTAGTACATGCATCTGCATGTGAATGTCTAATAGTTTTTAGCACAATATGTACTGTTTCAGTATTTCTGACTTTTACACCTACAGCAACAAGCAGGTTGGAATAGCTGTCGTACTTATTTCATCCTACTAATTATAGATCGTATAAGTTTTACATCTGTTCAAACAAGTTAGGTTTTAATTGGACAAGATTTACGGTTTTACAACAGTTTTTACAACAAATTAGGAGGAAATGTAACACTTTGAAAACATGTTTTATGATGGATAGTTAAACTTAATAACATGTTGGAAAATTTTTTGTCATAAATTACCAAGCTTGTTTTGTGTATAAATAAGGGAAATATAATCTGATTTAATATGGTCCGAACATGGTATTTAGCCTTGGATAATTGTGTTGAAAAAAAGGGTTCCTAGCAAAGGGGAAGTTGCCATTTTAGATACAATGCTAGTAGACAGTGTACAGTGCTGTAAGGACAGCCTAATTTTTTGACCAGTTTTATTATTATTTGGAAAAAGGCTCTGGAAGGGATACTGTCATTTTGGCTACTAGTTTTAGTTTGTTTGGTGAGACATTTTTCTTAGAAGCATTGTTCTATGCATTTGTTGTGAAGATAGTTGGCCTTACCTGACGTAGAAATATATGTGTAATTTGTGGGTGACCGTACATTTGAACCCATGTACATTTGAACCCATGCGTATATCCACGGGTTCAATCTATATGTGGGTGCTAAAACCCATGGGTTAGGGTTAGTATGGGTTTAACTATCCGTGAAACAAAAAAAATTCCATAGGTGCAATAGCATACAGGTGCAATTGTCATGGGTTTAAATGTACGTGGGTTCAAATGTAATGGAACCTAATTTGTGTATTGTAAAAACTAGTAAGAATCGAACGATATAGGTAATTCAACATACCAAATGTCTACATAGACATACTTCATCCAGGCCATGGATGAAAATAAATTTTTCATTTCCTCAAACCCCGTATAAAATGTGTCCTGTATAGAATATTGAAGCATTGCTAATAATTGATATGCTGCCTTTACTTGGGCTGTTTTTTCTATGAATAGGAACCTATGAACTTGCTATGAACATTTACTTTTCTCTGATAGTTACAGCACCAATGCAATAAAAAATTAAAATAGCAAAAGACACATGATACATTTACCAAATCTTATTAGCTACAGACTTTTCTATGAAAAAGCTAAGTAGAGGCCACTTGCATTTTATGTTTACTTGTCTCTGATAGTTAGCATCAGTGCAATAAATAAACATAGTAGGAAAAAAGTGATACATGTATCAAATCTTATAGGCTAAAGACTCGGTTGTGCGACATGTACTTGCGGGACAAGTGTAGTATTTGTTCATTACTTATCGATCTTTAGATCGGTAAGTATGTTGACAGGGATTTGTCTGTTAGATGCACGCGATATCTCACGAAGGCGTGGTTGAATCTGCTCCAAATTTTGCATGTGCATTCATCATATCTCGGACCAGAAGCCTATTGATTTTGGATGAATTATGTTGTATAATTAGCGAGTTATTAATTAATTTGTGATGGGACACGCGGTGTCACTATAGAGTCATGAATCGAAACTGCAGTTTCAATCGATAAGTCTTCGGTCTCCGATCGATATTCTCGTTGTAGTATCAGTTCATTGATATACGACTGCTATGTAGAGTATATAGCTCTCAGCCAAAGAACAATTAACAATACAATTCTTTAATCTGGAAACATTTCTAATTGAACACTCACATATTATATTTCTCATTTCCTTTTATTTAGAGTAGTTATTTAAAAATTCGATAGGATCATAAATTTACACAAAAATATTTTTGAATTTTTTGTCAAATGCTGTGCGTTTGTTCACTTTTTTGTTTCGACTTCTTTCTGGTCGCAACCCACCTTCATACTTTACAAGACGCAGTATTGTTTTGTGAAAACATTGCGTTGCGTGCCTTTGCTATTATAGTGTTGACATGATCACTTCCTTCCATCTTGTGTGGGCTTGTTACTGAGATTTCAAGTTGTTGTTCATTCATAGTTCATCGTCTTATGGGACATAATATCTTTATATTCAAATTATAGGCCCAGATTTCCTTATCATTGTTTAGTAAGGCATTTACCTTAGGAACAGTGTTTTGTGCATTTGTTTTGAAAGCAGTTGGCCTTACCTGACTGAGAAATATACATGTGTATACTGTATCAAGGGGTGAGTAATTACTTGTGTCTGCTCGCGTTCCATCGTAGTTCATTGTCTTATGCGATATAATATCTTGTTACTAATTCTTAAAATATAAGGAAAGAAAAACTAATCTGTCTATTCAAACCTTCGCAATAACTACTTGTACTCTTTCCACTTTTGGCTGAGGGGTCAGGACCTTGCTTTGAGCAAACTTGCCACTTATCTATCTGTACTCTTTTCATTTTTAGTTGAGAACCTGGGATTTTGTTTTGAGCAAACTTGCAACTCATTTGAGCAAACTTGCAACTCATCCTCCAGTACTCTTCCCACTTTTAGTTGAGGGCCGGGGACTTTGTTTGGTCAAACTTTTTTCATTTTATATAAAAAGCAACTATATGTAGCTCATGCCATAGTATTATAGTGTAATTATTAATAAAAAACTGCTAGTACTTTCCACCTTTAGTTTATTAGGGCACAGGTCTTTTCTTTGAACAAACTTGCAACCCTTTCATCAGCACTTTTCCACTTTTAGTTGTGGGTCTCTCTTTGAACAAAAAAAGCATTATTGAAAAATAGGTCAAGTGGAGTCATCTTCCTAATGTAACATTCCTTGTGGTTAATGACTTGTGCAGTATCGTGTTTCATTGCATTGTTTTCAAATGCTAGCTTACTTTGACGCTGATAATTGGGTGTATTAGGCGCATGTTGAAATAGTGTTTTTCACACTTATCATGCAATGCCAATAATAATGTTAATTATCAAGCCACAAGGCTGGTATAGGCTTTCAATTTTTTTAACTAAATACTGCCTCTGATATGTACAGAGCTTCCATTCATGAAAGGACGAGAATCACTCCATTTTATCATTGTCTACGTAATTTCGTACACCCTGTGCAAGGCAGTGGGCAAAGAGAAAACGAAAATTACCACTCAGTTTTCAAAAACAGCATCATTCATTGCTACACAAATCAAATTATATCTATTTATCAAATAATTTTTAGTAGGTATATATGGCCCACATTTTGTGACCAATTAACTTTTCCTTGCCAGGCTAAAACAACAAGGAAAACAAAAAATTCTTCTCGCAATAAAGATACTACCACTTTAATAAGTAGAATGAGAAATTACTAATCTGCAGAAAACAACAACAGCAGCCTCGTTTATTGCTACTGGAATCAAAATTTAAACTATAGTGACGCATCACACAAGCGAAACTAAATTTATCAACAACTCTTGCAATTTTAATAAGTTCACGGCCCACCTGAAAATGTTCCTGTGGCCTAGCAGTGGGCCATGGCTACTGGTCGAGGACCGGCATTCTATACCGATATCCCCTGTAACACAATAGTGTCAACTTTTCTCAATATTTTCACCCAAAACAAAAACTTTTTTTTCTATTTTACAGCGATTCTTTGGTTCTCACGTCTCTCGAATTAAATCTAAATTTCTCCACATGGCTGAGCAGGACGGACCGGCAACACATTCTGGACGAACTAGTAATGGATTAGCTGATATTCAAGCCAGAAGGGCAAAGTTTTCATCTGCAAAAAAGGTGCGTGTTTAATTGCAAATTGCCAGAATAATGCCTACCTTATTGCGGTGGCCAAATTCTGTCAGTTAAGTTGTATTGTTTTATTAGCTAATGATAGGTTTCTGAAAAGCATTGCTATCCCAGTTAGGGTGACTAAGATTTTGATATTACATGGAGTAATACTTAACTTAATAAATATATTAAAACATCTCCTAAGTTTGAGTGGCTTTATTAATTAAGCTTATCGTTATTTCATCTGTTGAATGGTCGGTATTTTCGATGGAATACAAAATTTTGATCAAAACAGGTATAATTTTGAGAAAAATATTGCATAAATCTTTTAATGTGGGAAAATAGTATTTAATTTTAATATTTTAAATTTGTTCAATAAGGGTTCAAGGGTTAGATAATGTTTTCAGATCCCTAATGTGGACCTTTCGAATATTTCTAACTTTTCATTTAATCCATAAAAAATATGTTGAAATATAAAATTGAACTAAATTACAATAACAGGAAAGTTCGTTTTTATTTTTTATTAACCTTGGCATATTCTTTAATATTAATTAATTAACATGTCTGTAATCTGATTTTGAATCGGTAACAATATCAATGCTAGGGAAATTTTTGATTAATTTGAAATAATGCCAAAAAATGCAGATTTATGTAAGAAAATGGTATTAAAAATCAACATTTATAATATAAACTATTCAATAAGGTATTTCAGGATAGGCTCATTCTTAATTTTCAACGATGTCAACTGAAAAATAAAAAATAAAAATTGAAATAGTGATAAGATAATCTTTGCTATTATAGGCAAACTGTATTAAAATCCAATTTATAAAATATATTCAAAAAGGTCTCTGCCTCTATTACTTACGCTTCAAATATTTTTTTTAACGCAAAGTTGCCTCATTTTATCGTGAAATTAGGCTTTATATGTAACAATAATCTTTTGCCCTAAAGGGTCAATCTTATTTTCAATCTGGTGTGAGAAAATATTCATGAAAGGGATAAGACTTTGTTTGTCCATTTGTTGAATTATTTTTATTTTACATATAGCCTACTTCTATTATTATGGAATATTTAACTCTTTCCCTTTATATTTAATAATTTGATTCCGAATGTCCATGATTTTAATCTTGTGTGATAATAAATTTATGAAAGGATAAAACATTGTCCAATTGTTGGATTGTTTATATTTCACGTAGACTTCTATTATCATGGAAAATTTTACGCTTTCTCCTTATATTCAATAACTTGATTTGGAATGGTCCTTTTGTGTTTTAATCTAGTGTGAAAATTTATCACTATATGAAACTTTGTTTTTCCATTTCTTGGATTTAAGGGTACTCCCATAGTATGTGTACCAGGTTAGGGTTAGGCCATAATTGCAGGTACAAATACTATGGGTGTCACTTGGCTAGTCCCCAAACTCATAATAGAACTAAAATAAGAAAAATTGGAATAAAGTTATGGCCTACCCCTAACCTGATACACATACTACGTTCTGGTGTCTGTCATCTTGGTTCACATTCTTCGGGAGTACCCATTATTCTAGGAGTACGGTACTGTTGTTGTTGCTGAGGGAAAGGGCGTTTCTCCAAATACTTAATAATGTTACATGAAAAGCCAAATACCAAACCGGAATTCGTTTATGAAGTTTTTTTTTCATATTTTCACTTGAACAAGGCTCTGAATAAGCAGCTGTTATTTTTGTAAACTAAATTGAAATTTACATATCTTGATTTTTGCTACAAAAAGCTACATCGAATATTCAAAATATTTTAGAAAGATATAAGAAGGAATATTTTAGAAGGAATATCAATTTATTTATGTATGGTATCCCGACTTACAACCTCATTGTCCTGAAGTGCCATACTTTTGTTCTCAAATATATCTTGAGTGTGTATTTCAAGTAGTCTCAAACTTTTAATATAGTAATGTTTTTTTAGCATATTAATATACAACAAATTTAGTTTAATACAAGTCAATATACTTGAATAAAATTAACAGTTGCTTGGTGTTATTATTATTATTTTCATTTATAAATTTTATGATTTGAACATTTTACATCTGATCGTCGGACATCATTTAAGCTACGGATACTATCTGAAGTAAAATAGAAAATGACCCAAAACAATCTTTATCTCAACTATTTTGCATTACGTGTTATTCTGTACTTTCCATACTTTTTGAATGAGAATTTTGCTGATATTGCAGTATTCATTTGACTTATGTGTCTAATTAGGAACCTGTTTATGAGCTTTCAATAAATGTTAGTGTTCCCACATTTTACTAATTTTATAATTTTTTAGATATTTGAATCTGCGGGGGGCACTAAATCATCGAACCAAAAATCACAGCGTTCCAATGCGGTCACAACCTCTCCTACGAGCCCTGTGGGTTCGTCACCACCATGGGTGTCAACAAGTCGAGAAAGAAAAGTCTCTGAATCATCTGTATCTAGTGTTACAGAGAGTAGTAAGTTTTATATTTATATTTTCCGAGTGCCTTTTTGTTTCACTGTTTTACGCTTGAAATAGGATTTAATTTTCATTTTCTACTCATTTCAACGGTGCCTCATGTTATGGATGTGTTCATTATTCCACTGATGATTGTCCTGCCTCTAATACAGGGGTGTGCAACCTACAGTCTGCGGGCCAAATGCGGTCCACAAGAAATAATTGTGCGACCTGCGGAGAAATTCCAATTTGGAATGGTTTACGGTCCCCGAAACAAATTCATAATTTAGTTCAATCTGGCATGTGCAAGTAATTTTAATCCTTTGGCCTTGCAAAGCACATATTGAGTCTTATACTAAGCTTGTGCGAACAATGCATGTCATAAGATCAACAACTAAAATTGTGTCTGCTGCAACTCCTAGAAAGCCTATGTCAGATAAAGGTGCACCGCACCCATGATTTTAACAAGTTTAATTAAAGGTTGCACTCTCCTGCTTTAATGAGACTTCTCTTTAGGTGACTGAAAACTTGACTTTGACCTTAAAGTTTTACTGTTTTTCTGAAAATTTTGAATTTGATTATCAAAAATAAAATTCAGATTTAGACATTTAAAGATACTATTACGAATCCAGTATCAATAAAACATTCTGAACTCAATTGACTTCAAAGCCCTAGTGGATAGATACTAAAGTTTTCTTTTCGGTTTATTTCTGCTTTGTTTCTGTTGTTTATTGGTGAATATTTTTTGAGGCTTCTTATTTTTGTAATTAAAATAAGTTGAATTGCATTGTTTAAAAATTTTACTCATTTGCTTCTCATGCTTGTTTTCACTTTTCAAATTGGAAGAGTGTTCTGGCTTAGTAAATAAGTTAGGGTCGCTCGAAGTGACTGGTAACCTTTTATGCCTAATATGCTCAAGGATATCTTAAATGCTGTCATAGCTAATTTCTCAATAATTCTATTCATTATGTCAGGGTTGCCAGTTAAGATCTAGAAATCCTATGCATAATCTAAATTGATTCAGTTCTAGTTGTCCACTGATCAATATAATGCTGGATGCACATCGGTGCAAAAAAACTCAAATTTCTAAAATTTTGCACCTACTATAATACGGTACTTAATTTGCCAAGACTTGGTTCGCTGATCGCTGGGAATACACTTTCTGTTATAACGCTGATTTACCTGTGTGGGTTTCCGGTTCAGGAGATTGGGAAATAGTATGTTTTTGAGGACTGCTCCCTGTCATAGGGTGATTTACATAAAGACTGGTCAGTCACAGTTTTTTTCGCCACCCAAGTTTATCTGAAATGATAAATTGGTTAATTATTCTCATACCCAATTTAGACTGGTACCGGCAATTAGACCTTTGACAAAGGTTTCTGTCCACAAGCTGCCTATCAGCCTTCCTCACTTTCGAGATAAATTTGAAAATCCTCTCCTGCTAGCCAAAAAAATACGAACAGTAAATAGGCTCTATGCGTATTTATAGTTCTTCTTGCATGTTTATGCTACTATTTGTGGTGAAATTCAATCTTCACTCTCAGGTGAATTCTCTCCAAAATACGATCGTATGGGAAGAAAGCCTAGAAGAGGGCAAAACCATTATTTAGCACGAGGTTTGCTCATTTTATTTCTCTTATTTTGCGAGATTTTGCATCTTTCGTTTTCAAATTTTTTATTAAAAATTTGAAAAAATTTTGTTGAATGAGGCATTGGACTAACAAGGTATTGCAGTGGTTTGTGAGTGAAGATTTATTTGGGAGGTTTTTATCTGTGATGTCATAGCGCAGGTGTTCCAAATTTATTTCAAGTGACTAAAATCTAGAATATAAATTGCCAAATTTACTCTAAGGTATGTTCAAATACCAAGTAAGTTTTTGAAATTGTTACATGACTTGTCTTATCAAAATGGATGCTGCAAAGATTTTACAATGTGATACTTTTCACATATACAATTACTATTGAGTAACACTTCAGTTCAGACTATGAAGGAAAAATAAAATTGACTAGGAAATAGAAAGAGTAACTTTTATGTTTTTCTTGAAAAAGCAAATGGCTCAAGTAAATTTTTAGTTGACCTAGTTTTTGGTCAATGCCTCAATGGTTAAAAGCCGGTGTCCTAACCATTGCATGTTGTGACCTAACCAGCATCTTTTTATCTCTAATACCAGGTGTGTCAGTCGATTCCATACCGAACGCTCACACCATCTTAGACAAAGATGTGATAGTTGTGGAGCGCACTCCGTCACAGGCTAGCTTGAACATCAATTCAGAGGCGAGTGAACACGCCCCCACCACACCTTCTAGTAAGAAATTTACTGTTTTACATTACATTGCAGGGTTGTACTTCAAAAAGAATCTGTCAGTAAATCCATGACCCACATCCTTTTTCATGATGAACGCTGGCCCTATTATAAAAAATTTCGCTGCTTAAAAGCATATATACTGCACCCCTTTTTTACCTTGCGATTGTCATTCATATGATTAATTATTTTCAAAACAGACCGTCGTCACATTAGTGACATCATTTCAACATTCGAAGAAAAGTCCAAATCAACAGAAGGAATAAATAAGACTGTTTCTAAGAGCAATAAATTCAACGGGCCGTCTTCAGGAATTTTCAAAAGGCCTGCTACCCCCGTTTTGAGGCACCCTAGACCCAACTCAATGGTCCTAATGGACGCCATGGGATCACCTAACTTAGACAGAGACAAGTCTAATTCTGGACCTATATTAGCAAGCAATACTAACAGCACGAAAGTTGTCAAAAACGAACCCAAAAGAGCCCAAAACGACAAAAAAACTGTAAAAGAAAATGCTAAAATATCACCAAAAGAACGTACATTATCCCCAGAAAACAGCAGTTTACTCTCAGAAAGCACTGACTCTGTTTTTGAGACGTCGAAAAATTTAGCGAATATTAGCGCTAACTCCACACCCAAAAAGGATACAATTCCATCGGATAAAACTAAAAAGGGAAATAAAAAAGTGGAAATTAGCGACGAGGACCAACTTCATGGAAATAGTAAGAAACCTTCTCCTTACTCTACTGTGGAATTAGCGCCGACTTCTAAAACAGAAGAAACTAAAGCTGAGAAGACGGCAGAAGAAGAAGAAGAGCCACATTATATGGTAAGATTTGCTAATGATCTGGTTTCTGCGGAACTATTAACTAACTACTTATCCTTTTTCTATTCCTTTGTGCCTGTGGATTCGTATGTAGGCTATAAATGCAAGGATGCTGTAGAAAAAGTGAAGATACCTATAATTAGTGATTCAAGCGTCTTGCTGCACACTAACACAAATACATTTCTGGAACATTTTGTCTGAAGAAGTCTTGACTTCGGTGTTAGTATGCAGAAAGGCTCTTTAATCACCTATATGGTGAGACTTTTGTTTTACTATTACTCCAAAAAAGGCTCTAGTCAAGCATACGGGGCTTTTGTATCTTTATGAAGACTGTTTTTGGTTTTTGCTCAATTTTTTTCACGCTTTTGAGCTCCAGGCAAAGCTCTTCGCAAGCAGATATGTTTTTGTAAGGGGCTGTTAAATTTCTTAAGAGAACTGGGATCTTTCTGATTTGTCGTATCTTGGATAATAATTTGGGATTTTGAGATTTGGAATATTTGGTCTGTGAATGATGACCACAAAATGCATATTTTGTTATGTTATAAACCTTGCTAAACCCCACAGGGTTCTCATATTTCTAAAAGGACAAAACCTAGGTTTTCCTCTCTCCCAGGGAAAACATCAAGGACGAATCAAGTAATTTTCAGAAGCAGGGGAGTTTCTGAAATTTCTAATTACCAAGTTAGAACAGCTAGCAGGTCCAGCAAGCATGAGTTTTTATCAGTCTTGAGAGTCTAAAAAGCATTTCAAGATGCGAAAATTGCAATGTACGATACAAAAAATACTTTTTTTTATACATTTCAAAAATGAGCGGGCGGTACGACACTCCCCTATACGCACGTCCCTGGTAGCTTTAAAACCGTATCCTCACATACTCCAGGTTCCAAGAATGCCAGCCCAACATATTGATGAGAATCAGAGACAACGGACATCAAGGCCATCAGGACTTTCAGCAGGATCTGATTCACTGTTCGATAAGTGAGATTCATCTCCATTTCCATAGCTTTGATTTGCATTAGCAGTTTATCCTAATATGTGAAACAGGGCGGTCCAACCTGCGGGCCAAATGCGTTTCACAGAAAAAAAATTTGTGGCCTGCAGAGAAGTGCTCATTTCAAATTGTTTGTGGCCCACAAAACAAGTTCTTGATTTGATTTAATCTGGTATGAGCGAGTAATACCAATCCCTTTGCGTTGCAAAGCTTATACCTGACCTCGTGCGAAGCGAACATCGCATGTCATAGGATCGATAATTAAAATTTTTGTGCCTGTAAACGGCTAGAAAGCCTATGTTAAATTAAGGTGTGGCCGCGGTTTCACCCAGTTATTTGTATCTGGCCCTCTTGTATTAAAGGTTACGCACCCCTGATGCCCAACTTTATACTTCTAAAAAGAAAAAAACGGATTTGCCTAATAAATTAAAGTAGATTCGCATATACCAAAGTTTGTTTCAATCAAATGTCAAAACCGATTCAGATTGTTGAATGTCTGCTCGACAACCAGCTTTGGTTCCCCTGTGACTTTCCGTCCCCAGTAAATTGTGTACATTATCATTTTCTCCTAATTTATTCTCAATTAATTTTTTTACTGGTTAGAAAAAAAAACTTCACTTTACTTCAAGTTTTTGATTTTTGTTTTGAACATCCCCGATCCAAACAACCAGGATTGTAAGCCATGTGTTGACTTTTTACAGATCAGAAATGTCGCAACAATCACCTCTCGGAACCAGCGTATTCAAAGCTCTTGGTCTCGGGGAAGAAGCGAACCAAAAGAATGATATAATAACTAAACAAAGCACTGACGACAGCGAACAAAAACGCCGCGAACAAATAGAGAATGAGAAAAACCGTCAAAACGCAGGTGACGCTTCAGAAACTTCGATTTATATTCAACAAGCATCATTGAATGAATCAATCGAAACACCAAGTGATCATTTGAGGCTCATTTCAAGCCCTGTAAAAGAAAGTCCGTTCATCCATGACCAAGAACCAAAACAGGATTTAGATGATGAAATCAGATACACTGATGCTGAATCTGATGATGATGGACCAACTAGTTATCAGGTAGGATGATTTAGTTCTCGTTAAGGGGTAGGAGATGTCCTGGTACGTCATATTTGTTAGTTGTCTCATAGTTTTCTTCTCCCCGAGGACAAATATGAAAAATCATGAATCCTGAAATATCAACCTAAAATGTCCGCTTTTAATTCTTATCTCTTATATTTTTCCCAGGTTAACGAAGCATTATATGAACAACCCATGGCTTCTACAATGCCGGGAGAACCTGACACAGACGGGGAAGATTCTGAGAGTGATAATGAAAAGGAAGGTATGAGATGTGTTTTTATATCAATTGGGGTTACTCAGGACTAACTAACTTTTTGGATTTTTCTGGTTAACACCCGACTAATATTAAGAAAAATCATAATTAGTAAAACTCATACATTAGCCAAAAAAATGGTTTGCCTCATCATTAGCAGGACATCCAGCTATTTTGACTAAATTTAAAAACAAAAATCATTTATTGCCAAACCTGTTCTTTGTAGGGGGCTGTGGGTGGGATTACTTTTTCAGAAAAATAGTCGCTTGAAGCGCAAAAGAAATCGCTCAAAACTGTACAGTAATGAATTATATTGTAGAATCACGAGTATGTATATACATACCAAGTGACATAGGTAGAGATTCCTATTTAAAACGTACTTTCTTTTGCTTAATTTAAAAAAAATTACCTCACCCTATATTCCTGTTTTTGGTGTATGATGAAGTTCAGAATGTTCGAACAAGGTTAATATTAAAGACCTTCTAATGGGATTCAGTCAGATGTCTCATTGCACGTTAAACCACAATTATATTTCTGTAACATTTTTTTTGATAATAGTCAGACTTCCTCACGCAAAATCAAGGACAGCAATCACTAGTTCAGATTATCTGATTTTTGATTACCTAAGAGTGAGACAGGGGTGTGCAACCTGCAGTTCTCGGGCTAAATGCGATCCACAGCGAAAACTTGTGCGGCCCATGGATAAGTGCCGATTTTGAATGGTGCGGGCCACGAAGTTTTTAATTAATTTTAATCTAGTATGTGCGAGTAATTCCCCTTATCTGAGCTTGTGCGAAGCGAACAACGTATGTCACAAGTTCAAAACCCTAAGTATTGTGCAACTACTAGAAAGCCTATGTAATATAAAGGTGCGGCCCACAGGTCCAACCAGCTATTTGTATCGGCCCTTCTGTATTAAAGGTTGCAAACTCCTGACCTCAGAAATAAACTATTCCTAATTCAGTAAAAAAACATAAAAAAATCTTTTAGACAAAGATACGGGACCAATTCTCACAGATGACAAAGGTCTTTATTATTACGAAATATCGGGATTACCAGAGCATGACTCGTCTGATGATGAAACAGAAGAAAAGTCTACAGAATACGAAACAAAAAAAGCTTCAAGGATATCGTTCAGTTATGCTCCGATACCGGTAAGTTTATTTTGTATTCATCTAAAATTAATATGGCACTTATGCCTGTCAATATCGATGTTGACCAAATATTATTGTACCCTGGAAAGTGTTCCACATGAAGTTACGGGGCTTCGTGCTAGAAACCAAGGGGCTCCGAGCTATTTGTTTACTTATTAAAATACTGACATTAGCTTATTTAGTAACTGTTCAAAGCAACAATGAATACATTCGAGTCATTGAATAAAGTATTTTTAATTATCAAGTAACATTAATCGGGAAGTACTTTTCGACTATTACTACCGTAACAATATGTTTTTTTTTTGCTTTATAAATTTATTGGGGGGCTTTGTAAATGATAGTCAACCTTTTCACGGGCTCCATAACACCAAATGTTTGAGAACCCCTGCCCTGGAATTCCTATCCTACAATTCATTTAATATTTGATTACTTTTAAAGGAAGTATTTAACAAAAAAAATAATGTTAATAATGAATATAACTTAAGTTTTAATAAACACAATTTCACTCAGGCAGGACGAATTTCACAAAAATTATTCATAATGTAAACTTATTTGCCTACTTCAAACTGGATATCAGTGGCTTCTTTGGAGCAAAGACATGAGAATATAGAACAAAACAGCTAAATTGATCTCTATGTGAAAATTCAGGAAAAATGCAATTAATATTTTTGAAAACGCAGATTAAAATTATCTAAAATGAATTTTGCTTAAACTAGCTACCTTGTTTGAAGAATGGGCGTGAAAATCTCATATAGAACAAAGATGCTGGCTTCATCGAGAATTTCCATCTGAAAATTTTGGATAATAAAGTAAAAAATATCAGATAAAAAACATTTCCAAGTAGGAAATTTGAGCCGAAAAAGTAAAACGAAACCAATTTTACTCTGAAATAAAGCCATTATGTTATTAGTTTTGATGTGAACTCAGATATGGTATATTTATATCTTTCAAACCCCAGGGCTATATTGCTTTGGTAAACAGATATATTTCTTCGTAGAATGATATGATTTATCACTTTGTATTTTTGTGAAATGTTAAATAAAGTTCTTTGTTTACAGAACAGGGTGTCCATAGGTCTTGAAATTTTTTATAATTGGCGAAGAGAGCTTATCGATATCATATATTGTTTTGGCCCTCACAGATGTATTAAATGAAGTAAAAATACTTGAACAGTTACTGATTAAAAAACAACAAACCTGGTTAAGATATATTGCAAACTGACTCCATAACAAAATTAAAATTGTAAAAGGACTTTATGGACACCCTTTGAAGATACCCTCTACCGAATTGCCATGAGCAGAGCCATGCTCTTAAACAAACAACTACATTTACATATTTAGAGATAATTTGGCCATTAATAAAACTCAGATAGTATGTTTTGGGCTTTTGGTTTAATTTTTATGCAAAGCCCAGCTTTTTAATTAGCTGGATTTCTCTGGCTTCGATTTTGAAAATATTTGCCATTTCTTACTATTATCGGTTTAAGATTAAAATATTTTCACGTTTAGAATTCAAAGTTCATGTAATCAAAGATTTAGAGATTAGTTGCCATGTCAACAATTTGACATTGGTAAATGACCTTGAACTTTCTCTATGACCTTGAAAATAATTTGAAACTAAATTCTAGTTATACAGTGTTTCCTGTTTATGTTGGGGCAATAAATTTTAATTCTCGTAATCGAATAAGGACTTGATTTACCAGAGCTTGTAATTTACTAGGTAACTTGTCATGGTTGAGTAATTAAATCTTGATTTAATTGGAACTTGATTTCAAGTTGGCGGCGCGGCGGTGTGGCTCAACGGGCTAAGCGTTAGGAATACGCTCGCCACCTCACCTCTAACTACTCTGCGTGGGTTCGCAGGTTCGAATCCCATGCGGGGATGGTTATGTGCGAGAGGATTGCTGGACTCCTCGCCGTCGTTGGGTGGTTCACGTAACCGCTGGTCGGTTACGGCTTCCTCCACCACCAAGTCCATGCTTCCGAAAACAAACAATACAGTAAATCTAATCCCATACCCGACTTGGAATGGTAACCGGACGAGAGGCCGTGGTTCGCCATATGGATAAGCCGTCTTATCGGCTTTCCTCCCCCCCGGGATAAATATGTAAATCCTACCCAAGTATTAATCCTAGATAAAACAGCAAATCAAGTTTAATTATTCAAACTTAGTCATGGTTGGCTGAAACTTGATTCACAAGTTCGAAAATCTTGATTTTAGCAGAACTCAAAATCATTTGAGACAAAATTAGTTCAAATTTATAGATATTAAATTCATATTCCAGTAAAATAAAAATTTAAACTTGGTCATGGTATGGTTTTTAAAATCTTGATTTAAGCAGTGCTCGAAAGTATTAATTCATAGGTGTACAGCCCATTATGATTTTTTTATTGAGGTAATAAATTTAGTTTTTGACTGAAGGTATTAAAAACGTGATCATGATTGTTTAACAGAAATCTACATCTAAACAGAGCTTGAAATTCAGTATTGTATTGATTTTAGTTGAAAACCATTTCAAGTTTATAATAAGATAAGGCCTGACATTTACTGGGTATTAGTATCAGGTAAATTGAATTACTGCTATGTCAGTCGGGATTTGCCATCTGCCCTCTATAATACCATGTGTCAAGTTTTATAATGTTGAAGGTTAAAGCGACAGGATTGCTAGCTCCCTCGTCGTCGCAGGGTTGTCCACGTTACAACTGGTCGGTCCACCATCAGGTCCATGCATTTGAAACAAATAACTGGCTAACTAATCTCATACCCAACATGAACTTGTAATCGGATGAGAGGCAGTGGTTCGGGTTCCATTACATTTGAACCCACGTACATTTGAACCCACGACAATTGCACCTGCATGCTATTGCATCCATGGAAATTTTTTTTGTTTTGCGGATATTTATACCCATACTAACCCTAACCCATGGGTTTTAGCACCCGCATATAGATTGAACCCGCGGATATACACATGGGTTCAAATGTACGTGAGTTCAAATGTACAGTCACCGGTGGCTCACCATAATATTGAGCCGCCTTATCTATCGTCTTTCCCCTATTAGGGGATAAATATAAAAATTCTATACTATCCCCAAAACTATCTCTCTAAATATCTTTAGGACAATGCCAACTTCTGATTTAAAATTTGGGGGCTCCCGAAGTATGCGAACCAAGATGCCGGACATCGGAATGTAATATGTGTACTAGGTTAGGGTTAGGCCATAATTTTAGGTATAAATACTACGGGAGGCTCTTGGCTAGTCTTCGAACTGATAATAGGACTAAAATAACGAAAACTGGAAAAAAAATTATCGCCTAACCCTAACCTGTTACCCATGTTACGTTCCGATGTCCGCCATCTTGGTTCGCATACTTCGGGAGCACCAAAATTTGAATCCAAACTCAAATATATATTGTATGGGGTTTAAAGTTTGTGCATCTGAATCAGAAATTGGATCTTTTCCAGTTATGGCTCCCACTAATATATGAATACTCACATTGTCCAGTTAGGGTTTCGGGTTAGGGTTAAGAATGCAGATTGCTCTGGATTTTCAAATTTCGAATCATTTCCAACCCTAACTGGATGATTACTTATTTGTTATTTTCAAACGTGGTGTGGTAGTATTAGTGGAGGGCGAACTGGAAGAATACTCTGGTGCAATCTGAGTGATGCGCGAATAAGATGGTCTCTTAGTTTAGCAACTTTTTTTTTTGAGTTTTAAACTCGGCCTATTCGCGATCATATAGGGTAGTGTGTTATATGTAATTATATGTTAAATTTTAGGACTTAAAACGTTGAAGCAAAACCATTTCTACAGATATCATTATCAGGATGTCAATGCGTTACCGTATTATCCGGCTATGAATTCGTTTTTCTGGACCCAATAAGTTGGCCTGATTTTAGGGGGAGCTAGGGTTGAGGATCGGACACCCAACTTACGACTGTGTAAAAAAAGCATTATTTGTCATAAAAACAAAAAAAAATTACCTTCACTACACTTTTAAAAAATCTATGAAATTCCGCAGTTGCTTGGAATGGTTCAACGCTACTATTATTTTTGGATGAGCCAGAATCTTGCCGTTTCAGAATTGCCGATCCAATCAGATTTATATACTTTAGTTGTTTTGTTGTCATTGACATCATATGTCCTTATTACCGCCATGTCACACATTCCTGTACTGCCCAGAGTTAGTTCATCAAAGTTAATCATTAATTTGGGGGCGTAGGAATGTGGCGTCATTTGTTACCATTTTAAGGAATTGTATATTATATTGGATTAGAAAACGGGGAAGAAATAATAATTTGGAATATATTCTGAAGATGTCTTTTAAATTTAAATGTATTCGAATCATTCGAAACATTGTTTGTATGAGTATTATCATTTTATTTTGGTAACCGTCGGACGTCTGTATCTGATTTTTTTCCACTGATTTAGGGAAATTCCTTTCTTACTTATCGAACATTCAGGAAATAGGTTTAATATAAACTTCCTTCCTATCGGCCAATGGATAGGAAATATAATGTAAGAACAGGGATATCGTGTTTCAAAAGCAAAATTTAAAAATGTTGGATTTATCATTTTGTTGTTGTAAAAACTGTTGCTGTGAAAGCATATTTCTCAAAATTTGAGTGAAACTGACAAATTGACTGTTTAATGAAATTGTCCGTAGTCCCACTTCAGTCCTATTATGGCGGAACCTCTATAAAAATAGTCAACTGTATATGGCCATGCACTGTAACTGAATAGTAGACAATAATATGACATTTGATTATGTCGTTTAGGCAACAAAAACAGCAAGTTGTTCCATAGGCCCACATCGAACCTGAAATGCATTTGGAAATGGAATCTGTTGCCAAAATTTACCACAAACAAGCAGATTGTCTCTAACTCAATCGAGCATTTGTTTACGGCAACTCAAATGTTTAATGGAGCATGTCAAAGTGTTCCAAATACCACAAAGTTGTCGTTTTCTCTCCTTAGAAGCACAAATGCGATTTGAAGAGACGCCATGGTGTTTTAAGCTTTTTAAGAAAACAATTCTATTTTTAAAATATCTTAAAGTTGTTAACAAATATAATACTCAGAATTCTCGAATAAATGAAAAAAAATAATTTCTTGTCATACCATTGCTTGATATACTGTTGCTGCGTTGTTTATATAAAGGGTGGGTTTACTACCAACAATATTAAAAACATCGCTTTCAGACATAAAGGATGACGGTTTTTTATGTGATGTCATCTCATGTTCTTTCACTCTGAAAGTGTATGTACTCTTTGCAACTCCTATAATTTGTTTATCGTTTTGCACCACTTTAATAATTGTTTGGAATCAAAAGTAAAAAAGAGTACAATAGATATAGTACTTTGTGTGAAATTGGTTTGCTTTTTGCGACTCCTAAAATTTGATACCCGCCCCCCATATGCCACTGCCAAATAAAGTTATCTTGTCTAAGCCACAAAATTCTTGGCCACTGACTGGGATATGTATGTTCAGTTACGTTACGTCATTATTGGAATTGGAGGTTCGCATTGCCTACTTTTTTGCGACCGTGTTCCGGAAAGCGCCGCTTGTCGAGTGTAGCGGCCAAACTCGGCATTGTTATGCAGGTGCGACACTTGTGAAATTAGTATATTCTTTGCCAACCCATAAAATTCGTTCATGTTTTGCACTACTTTTAAAAATTGTTTTGAATTAAAAGTAAAAAAAGTGCAATAGATATACTACTTTGTGTGAAATCGATGTACTTTTTGCCAACCCTAAAATTTGTTGCATGTCTCCCTGTGGGGTTCGTGACCCCTAGTTCGGGAAGCCTTAGATTAGGCAATACTGAAACAGATATATTTATCCCTCCGATATAATATATATCGTAATATATCAGTCTTGTACAAAAGCGTAAACGTCATTAAAAATACATTGCTGATGAAGTCATCGTGTCTAAGCCACAAATTCTTGGCAACTACTTAGTGTAATTCAATACTTACTGACTTATTTGTATGCTCGGTTACGTCATGACTGGAGGTCAGGTCTCCCACTTTTTTGCGACCCCTTGTTCCCAAAAGCGCCGCTTCTCGCGTGTTGCTGTCAAAGTTAGCATTCCTAAGCAAGCGCGCCACTTCTCTCATCCTATGTATTATCTCGAAATCGTGATATTTATGTTTTGCACTGGTTTTAATAATTGTGTTTTGAATCCAAAGTTTAAAAAAGTACAATGAATATACATAGTACTTGTGTGAAATTGGTTTGCTCTTTGGACCTCTAAAATTCGATGCACGCCCGCCTGTGCCATTGCCAATGAAGTCATCGTGTCTAACCCGCAAATTTCTTGGCACCTACTTAGTGTAATTCAATACGCACTGACTGTAATGTGTAAAGTATGTTATGTTACATCATAATAGGAGGTTCACAACGCCCACATAAAATGAGTAATGGCTTAATGTTGTTACAACTGTGATTGTTACTACTTGAGTATCTTTTTCCAAAAATGGCTGACACTAAATAATTCACTACTCTGAATTCATTTTGGATAATATTTTCCTATATGTGATATAGAATATATTCTGAATTGGATTGTATGTAACAGTAAAATTTGAACTAATCCATTGAAATGTGGTCGTTTCGGTATCACTTTTAATTTGCTCGAGCTCAGTATCCAGCCTACAATCTGTATTGTGAAGTGCTGTTACTATATCCCCACGAAGTGCGTGACTAGATGACTAGGCCAATTGAATAGACGCGAGCATAGAATACCCAGTTTTTCCGCATACTAGTCGAAAGTACAGGAATCACAAAAGATATTGTTTTAACAGTGAATATATGAATTACCCCCTAAAAATTCGCAGTTTGGGAACCACTGGTCTAAAACCTAGGTGACAGTGCATTTGTTAAACTTTTAATGAAAGGTTATAAAATTTTTGAAAGATTTGAAGATAAGTATAAACAGTTTTCACTATACACTGTCTATTGAGGTTAGCATTTTTCACCAAAATTTTTATTTTTTCTGTTTCATTTCTTTTTGTGCGCAGTGACTAGATACTATCATGTTCAAAATAACCACATCTATCTTATCTTATAACAACACAAACACAGTGGAAAGCTCCCATCTATCATTTGAGGCTTAGAATTCAGTGACCCGTGTTACAAAGTCGTAACAAAAACCGTTTGTTTTGTCCAAAGTGGTGATAGATCCCATGTAGGCTTAGACCACTTTTGAAAAGTGATTGGAAATGGGAATATGTCGACTATAATTATGGTCAAAAGATGACTAAAACAGAACAATTTGCAACTCTGAACACTTTCTGAAGTTTACCGACTTTGAAATTGGGGTACTACCTTAGTATGTGTACCAGCTTACGCCATAGTTTTATTCCGATTTTCCTATTTTAGTTCTATTACAAATTCGGGGACTGTCTGTGTTAGCCAAGCGAATACCCCCCCTGCCCATAGGTTTCAGTCCCTTAACAAAACTCAATGTAAAGTAGGCAAACAAAATTAGTTACCCTTTTATTGGTACACATACTCTGGAGCGCCGACACGTGTATGATAATATATTTGTAAGAATAACATATTTTGTGAAACAGAAAATACGTTCGATATGCAATCTTTGTGATCTGATTTTGGGTGTGTTTTTATAAGATAGGTCAATAGCTTTGTATCTTTTTTACATTGTGGTGTCACAATCCTATTCATGAAATATTTGTTACACAACAAAGCACACAAAGCAAATTATTAAACCTATTGTTATGTCATAACAAAGGAACAATAGAATATTTTATATTTATGTGTGATGGAACAATGTATTGACATAATAATATTACATGAAGGAATTTAAATTGGTGTTCTTGGGAAGAATAGTAATAAAAATTGGATTTTTATTCATTTTGAACATATTACTGTAGTTAGAATTCAAAATTCTTTGCCTGCCCTGTGGCCATCACTTCCCTGCAGTGTTACGAATTGGCTAAAAAACGCTTAATTGAAAAAAAATTGTCTTTCAAAAAAATGATATATCAGTTAATTGTAAATTGAATTAGTGCTAACCGAATAAATCCAAATTTCAGTATTTAAAAAGATTCATTTTGATATTTAAAATTTAATCAAGTACTTTTCTGAGTAAATATAGCGAGGCGAAAAATGAGTTTTTTTTACATTCGAGTGATTTCCTTATCCAGGTTGAATAAGAATCATCATATTCATATTCAATTTTTTTTTTCAGGTATTCCTCACCCACTCCACAGAAGATTACAATCGAAGGAACGATGACATTGATCCTGTGTCAGCATCGGCAGAGTATGAATTGGAGAAGAGAGTTGAACAGATGGACGTGTTCCCTGTCGTTCTTACAAAAGGTAGCTGATAATTCAAATAAAAGTTTATTAATTATTAAAGTAAATAACTCAGACTGAGCACATGCTCAACATATCCTCGAGTAATGACTGTCCATTTTCAGCTGAATGAACACTATTTATACTAATTGCCAGCAAAGCATGCAATGAAATATCGACATGACAGTAAAGATTACTGTAAACATAAGATTCATGGAAAACTATTGAACTATCAGTAGGAATTGGATTTTAGGAAATGGGGCGTAATAACTTGGATAGGAAACTCCGAAGTGAAAAAATCCTGTCTGACTAAATAAAGTGAATCCTTGAATATTGTTAAATATCAAAGAATGATTGTACATGGCTTAATTCATAGCAAACGGTTGGTTCAAATCCCATTCTAACCATTTCACTTATTGTACAGGAATTTGTGAAACAGATTGATATTAATTTTCCATAAAATAGTAACTCATTGCGTATCAGTGACAGTACTCCTGTAGTATGTGAACCAAGATGGTGGACACCGGAACATAGTATGTGTACCAGTCTACCAGGTTAGGGTTAGGCCATAATTCCAGGTACAAATACTATGGGAGTCACTTGGCTAGTCCCTGAACTTGTAATATAAATAAAATAATTAAAATTGGAATAAAATTATGGCCTAACCATAACCTGGTACACATACTATGTTCCAGTGTCCGCCATCTTGTTTTACATACTACCAGATTACCTAGAAAATAGTGAGACAATAGTGTTATTGTTCATGTTATTGATAGATTATTACCAATCAACTGCAGTTTATCTCAAGCCTTGTACAAACTGAATGTATAAAAACAGTTCACAAACAGATGGTAGTTTATTCCAATTTTCTTTATTTTAGTGCTATTACAAGTTCGGGGACTAGCCAAGTGACTCTCATAGTATTTGTACGTGAAATTATAGCCTAATCCTAACCTGGTACACATACAACGTTCCAGTGTCCGCCATCTTGGTTCGCATACTACAGTAGTACCTCAGTCACTGAATAAACGTTAAATTTACCTTTGCATTTATTCTCAAGTTCAATCTTTATAGTATCTGCAGTAGAATTTTCCATGGCACAAACTACATATGCTGCCTTCCATATTAAATTTAATCATTATTTGTGCACCAAAGCACCCTCCTGTATAAATTCCGGTACTCCTGTAGTATGCTAACCAAAATGGCGGATACCGAAACGTAGTATGTGTACCAGGTTAGGGTTAGGCCATAATTTTATTCCAATTTTACTTATATTATTTATATTACGAGTTCAGGGACTAGCCAAGTTACTCCCATAGTATTTGTACCTGGAATTATGGCCTAACCTTAACCTGGTAGGCCATAATTTCAGATACAAATGCTCCAGGATTCACTGGGCTAGTCCCCGAACTCGTAATAGAACTAAAATAAGGAAAGTAGGATAAAATTGGCATAATTTTAACCTGGTACACATACTACATTCCGGTGTCCGCCAATTTAGGTACAGGGGTACCTAAATTCCAATACTGAATTGTGATTCTCAACTTATCTTCTTCCATTTCAGCTTCTGGTGGTCTTGGTCTCAGCATCATAGGAATGGGAGTAGGGGCAGATGCGGGGGTTGAAAAACTCGGAATATTCATCAAGACAATAACTCCAGGTGGTGCTGCAGATATCGATGGAAGGTATGTTGAATTTTGTTTTTATTTGAGGAGCTGTTAATATGGTGTAATCATGTTATGCGGTACAGGGTTTCGTTCTCTACTTAGCCTTACAGGTTCTCATACTTGACTCGACATCACCAACCTATATTATCGGTAAACATAAGAAACACTCCGCACAGTAGAACAGTTACAAACCTAATACCACGTTTAACAAGCACAATCAAGAACATTAGCCCTTTCCATGCGATTTTTATTTTTTATTAAGCAATCGTATTTGCTATGCCGATTTTATGCATTTGTACCCCCACAACTAATCGATAGACTAACGAAAAACTAATGATCCTCTGCTGCCCACTGACGGCTCGTTGGAAAGCTTATTTAAAGAGCTTGCAATTGGCGATTATAAAAAAGTTTTTTTAAAAGTGGTGATCTGTATCACAAACCGGATAGAAAAAAGGCATTTTTTTTTCTTGGGAGTTGAAACATCAAACTGTGATGAAAAATAGAAATATTCGCTAAATCCTTTACTGTTACCGCTTCGTGGTTGGCAAACAATAGCATAATATTGCTGTAGCAATTTCGTGATCTAACTCAAAATACTTTGGTAGATGGAACGGATAATATGTCTTCTATTACCACCCAAAAAACACGCATAAATTTCAAAAACACTCCCTCGTTCCGCCGCAAATAAAATTCCCGTCATAAACGAAAGATTGATTGCTAAATAAAACAGTGGAGTACATCAACGTACCCGCCGCAATCTAGCGACTTTTGTCGTTGGTACGTATACGTGCCCACCGCACGGTAAGGGTTAAACACAGGTGGCGCTATAGGGTATATTACGTCATATCACATTCAGTTCAATATTCTCTGCAATTAGCAGATAAACATTTTCGTTAAGACTTTTTTTAAGGATGCAGCTCAGCTACTCAGTAACCAGTATAGGTTTTCACGCTTATTCCTCACCCTGAAATGCGTTTTTTATAATCTATTATAATTTGTATGTCTTTGCGTGTTTTTATCGGGGTAAAAAATAAAAAATGTTGTGAACTGCTCCTGCTCGTCTGAGGTAGTCTGACTTTGGTCAGACGAAACGTTACAGAAATACATTCGTGATAGTGTGCAGCAACACTCTTGAATTGCATAGTATATGGTCTGTTTATTCCTGCTACATCATACTTACATTATACACATACGAATCTACTAGTGCAAAGGCATTGAGAAATGATTGGGAGTTAGTCTTGTGTAATCCTCTACTGATACTGAGTCCAATTAAACATTGTTCTTCTCTTTACAGCATCAGAGTTAACGATCAGATTATTGAAGTTGACGGCAAATCATTAGTCGGAGTTACGCAAGCCTATGCAGGGGATGTATTGCGCAATACCAGTGGGACGGTCAATTTCAAAATTGGACGAGAACGTGGAAACGTAGAAGATTCAGAAGTTGCAAGATTGATAAGGCAGTCATTGGAACAGGAAGAAATGGAGAGACAGGTACATTTTCTCTTTTTGAATCAGGCTCTAGACCAGGGGTTCCCAAGCTTTTCTCAGGACGACCCCAAAGACAACTTTCAAGTGTCTAGTGCGACCCCAGGTCAATATATATTTTGAACGTAATTCCATAATGAACGGTCAAACAGTGATGTCACAATAAGCACCTACATTTTCCATAGCATAAGCATAGAGCGATGCCTATGGGCCTGTTTTACAGTAAGCCATGGTACAAACTGCTAAATTTAACATGGTTTTTTCAAATCTTAGATGTTTTGTACATCCATCCTTTACCATACTTCAGTGACCCAATGACCTGTTTGCGACCCTACCTACTTATCACTTCGACCCAATTTGGGGCCCGACCCCTGATTTGGGAACCCCTGCTCTAGACCGATGGTTCTCACCGGGGCGTAGCCAAAAATTTTCAAAGGGGGGGAGGGGGTTCTGAATTTTTTTTTTTGCCAAGTCAGATCAAAACAGCTAGACGGTACGATCGAACGCTGGAATACGCGTGTTTTTAGTAGTCTTGAAGGTCTAAAAAGCATTTCAAGCTACGGGAAACCACCCCCCTGGCTACACCACTGGTTCTCAAACTTTCATCATTTGTAGTCTCTTGCAAAGACTCCCTGCACTTTCATCCTTTCCTGGTTGTCCTTAGATGCGAAAACATATAAAAATAATGTATCCTTCCATTCCAGACAATGAACTCAACAGATGATGAACTGGCTTCAACTGATGAACCTTCTTCAGTCTACCATGAAGATGACAATACAAGGGTAAGCTATGATTGGTCTATTGCTATTAATGAGTTAATATACGGACTCTATCTGCTTTTCCCCCTCCAATATACAGTGCTACCTCGCTTGTCGAGTGACTTGATACTCGAACATAAATTCGAGCTTCACTACACAGTGCGCCAGCAAGTCATTCTGTTACCCGAACTGCGCATCTCAGTTGCCTCTTGGCCATTCAACAAAAAAGCGATGCTCAATATATATCGAAACAAATTGTTCCTTTTTGCAAAAAAAGTTTCGATAGCCCTAACATCAATCCGGAACGAATTATGTTCGACTACGGAGGTATCACTGTATGTGGAATTTATGTTGATGCATTTTTGAGTCGAATTTTTATATTTAAAAATTATTTCATTTTTTTTTCACTTCAGTTAAATTTCAGTTTTGAGCTAAAAAAGATTCTTTGTTTTTTATGTATACCTTTTTCTCATATTTTTATTTCAAGCATTGTGCATATGTTATTTTCCCATCTGAAAAAAATTGTGTTTGCATATCTGTTTGTGGTAAAATACATTTCGCTAAACAATTCGGTAATTTGAACCAAAAATGATCATTATTCTTATTTTTTATTTATTTTTAAGTTGCTTCGTTTCTTTTTGTTAATCATTTTTTCAATCTATAGCCATGGCAGACAGATTCCTTTGCCGAGGCCATAAACAAAGCGATAGGTGGGGGGAGACCACCCCCACCCCCCAAGCCCCAAAATCTTGCGTCCATGCGCCGCTTGGACAGTATGGAATACATGAAAATGAAATCTGGGGATCTGGAAGCAGTGGATGATGAACCACCACTCGATGGTGACAATGAACAAGATGGTTTGAGAATGGAGGTCGAAGGTCATGAGAATGTAGAAGCGCAACTAGAGGGCGCTGTTGATACCACTAACAGCAGCGAAGAGCCGATTTATATGAATGTTCTTGCTAAACCGGAAAAGGTTTGTCAGTTGGTCGCAACTCGCACTGTTTGGTGGAGACTGCACTCAGAGATCTGCCTGCCTAACAGTATCTTGTACTTACTTTAACTCTCCATGTACTTCTCAACATCTGCAACATCTGTTATCGGTACTCCCGTAGTATGTGTACCAGATTAGGCCATAATTTTATTCCGATTTGTCTTATTTTAGTTCTATTACGAGCTTGTGGACTGTCTGCGTTGGCCAAGTGAATATACCCCTGCCCATATGTTCCAGTCTCTTTACACAACTTAATGTAAAGTAGACGAACAAAATTAGTTAACTTTATTTTGGTACACACACTTCTGGAGCGCCCTGTTATCTGCTTCGATTCTGTTTCAACTATCTTTTTTCTTAACTCTTTGTTCAAATAAGCGCTTCAAGTCACCAAAAACAAAACTCAAGACTTTCAGAGTGTGATATACGGGCTGGCGGGAGATTTGAAATATAATCTACCAATAATATTAAATCCAGGGTTAGGTGGTGTCGCTGTGTCCACATTTTGTTCCATCTCTGCATGATTCTTATATTTAAGTCTCTTCCTTTCCATCAATCCTATCTGTCTACTGCAGTGCCTATTTTTACTCGGCGGGCCGGTAACCCAACGAAAGAATGTGGCCATAAAATTAGGCTTTATCTGCTTTTCTCTTCCCTGGAGTGACCTACTCTCCAAATAGGCAAAATCTATTTTTCATCTTTACCAAATTTTTCAGTTTCTTCCAGCTGCATACTCCATTATGCTTTTGAAGTCTTTTTCGTCCTTATTAGTTAAAATTTCTTTTTTCCCTCTGGTGTTTTCCTTCAAATTTCTGGCAAGTTTGATTCCTATAAACTACTAACAGATTGCCTGCAGCATGAAGATTATATGAAGAAATATTGGCTCGATATGCAGGGATAATTTACTAATATTTTGGGGCTCTTGAAGTATGCGAACCAAGATGGCGGACATCTGAATGTAATATGTGTACTATGTTAGGGTTAGGCCATAATTTTAGGTATAAATACTACGGGAGGCTCTTGGCTAGTCTTCGAACTGATAATAGGACTGAAATAAGGAAAATTGGAAAAAAATTATCGCCTAACCCTAACCTGTTACCCATGTTACGTTTCGATGTCCGCCATCTTGGTTCGCATACTTCGGGAGCACCAATATTTTTTATTGATTTTTGCCTTGTGTATGTAATTCTCTATAGGTTGTCTTACTTTACAACTTACATATGAATCAGTAGTGCCAGAAATTTAGTATTACTGCTTGTCCTATTATTACTTATGTATGTTGATAGGTATTTGTCTGTCTGTCTGTTAGATGCACTCGATATCTCACGAAAGCGAGATTGAATCTGCTCCAGATTTTGCATGTGCATTCATCATATGTCGTACCAGAAGCCTATTGATTTTGGATGAATTATGTTGTATAATTAGCAAGTTAATAATTAATTAGTGATGGGACACGCGGTGTCACTGTAGAGTCGGAATGAATGGGGGATCGATCCCCTAAATTTCGATCGAAATTCTCGTTTTTAATATTTAATCCAATTTGACCAAATAATTGACAAAGTTGAAGGATTACGAATATGTCAGATGTAACATTGTTAATGCAGGGACCTGGTGGAACACAGGCGCATTACCTTTGAAGAACAGTATCAGTGTTCCCCTTGTTTCGTGTTAATTCAGTGTTGGCATTTGTGTTACCTAACCATTGAGAATATGAGGCATGCCACATTTTTGTAACTGTTATTTACAGCAAATGTTAGTGTTTGCCTCAGCAATATTTTTGTTTTGACTGATTTCATCAGACACTTATCGTTAGGAATATGATAAATGCGACAGCGCGATTTATTCTGTCTCATATGGTTCTCATTGCTCCAGTCTTCAAATGCATTTGTTTTGAATACTTAAATATTAGCATAACAAGTAACTCAGCGCGCGCAAGTATAATGTATATTTCATTATTTTTGTCTATTTTCACTTTTAGGGTTAATTGGAATTGGCGTTTTTTGTTACTAAACTATTACCGGTAAGAATATGACGAGGGCCACATCTCTTTTCGCCATATTTTTTGTACCTGTTATATAGAGCCAGTGTTAGTTTTTTAATCGCAATAATTTTTTTTTTTTGGCTTGATTTCATCAGGCAGTTAACTTTCGCTTATCGTTGAGAATATGATGAGTACCACAGCGCTAATCATCTTGTCTTACCAAGGCACTCATTGCAGAGAATAAATTTTGTCTTTGTGTTTTAAATATTCCAATAATAGCATGACAAGTCACTCAGCGCAAATGTAAATATATATTTTAAATGCTATAATCCAAGACTCTTGGTGTGATTGTGACATCACTCGGTAGCAGTCTCGGTATGTTTGTGTGAGTGCAGTCATGAATCATGTGGGTGATGGTCATGTGGAATATGCTTTATTTATTATGATTAAAACCCATTTTTCTATGTTATTTAGGGCATTGGTTAGAAGCAGCTGATTTGCCAGATAAGATTTTTTGGACTAGATATGTTGAGTTAGTGTTTATCTTGTTATATTTAATTTAGTATTTGTATGTGTGTAATCTGTATGCCTTCATCATCCCTTCGCTGAATTCAATGCAGACTTTCCTAGTTCTATAATTTGGAATATTCAGAGCCATTTGTAATACTGAACCTTGGGATACATGACTAGAGCACACTTCAGATAACAAATTTTCCCTCAACGAATCTAGTAGTGATAACAACTTATCTAAAAAGTAATCTAGTAAGGAACAACTCACTGATAATAACCAAATGTAATCTAGTAAGAAAAACTTCATGATAACAACTTATCTAATCTGGTTTTGTTATCAAAATTTCCCGAACAGCTAACCATCATGGATGACTATAGGTTAGCGAAAGAAGAACGTCGACCATTTGCATTGTATTCACCAAGAAAAAGCCCAAGAAACTGCGAAGAGAAACAAAATGGAGCCTCGAAGGGTGAAGAGCAATATAGGCCCATTTCTGGCAACCCTGATTACATAAGAAAAAATAATACAGAATCCATACTTGAGAATTTGGATGATACTAGAAAACATGGTATTCCTAACAATAACAATAAAATCAGGGACTCGAAATATGAAAAATTGATCTCCAGCACTTCAAGTGGAAATAAACACATAAAATTATGGGAACATACGATTGACCGCGAACAAATGCTAGTACTGAAAGACCGTAATCGTATCCCTATGGGGATAGTCTCACAAAAAAGAGAACTTTGGCAAAACGTAGGAAAACTTGCAACAAGCCCAAGAAACGAACCTCAACTATCCCTAGTAAAGACTGATTTGGAAATTCCAGAGCAAGACTTGACATATGATGATATTGAAGATGACTTAATATATGAGGCTCCCATCCACTCAAGAGAAGATTCCTCATTTGGAGAATTGGTTGAAAACTCGGTTCAAAAATATAGTGGTCTGGAGATTGACACACAAAATTTCGATGTTCAAGATGACTTAGAATCTGAACAGTCTATCCAGCCAGCGAAAGATATTGAAACCGATTTCACTGAGTCAGCAAATGATTTTGAAAACTTGGATGATAGGTTGCAAGACAACAAAGAGATGTCAAGAAATGGGGGTTTTGCATTTGATGATCATTTCGAATATGAATTTCAATTAAACAGTGACAGAGACGTCATACAAAGTGAAGATTTGAACAAGAAAGAGACCAAAGCTAAGGATATAGGGTGTGTGTATACTAACGAAGAATTGGACTCAAAACGACAAGAAATTATGGATCTTATTTTGGGTCCGAGTCGAGAAAAGTTACCAGAAATAGGATTCGAAAATAAGACAGTTTATACGAAAAACTGGATTGAACAGAACTTTACCTCATCCGAAAATGTACAGCATAAAAGGTACAAATCCGACTCAGAATTAGGCGTTAAGATTATTTCTGAAGATTTAGACACTTGGAGTGATGAAGAGCTAGGAGCGTCGTCACATTTTATGAGCCCTGTTGAAGTTCGACTTGCAAATTCATTAGAAGTATCAAAGCGTTTTTTAACATCGGGGGGACGTAACGATCCCCAGTTGCGGAGAAGTTTTTGGAAACAGTACAAGCATGCTAGAAGGAAGAACCGAAAACTAATGAAAACTCTCTCACTTGAAGATGATGCAAGTGGCAGTTATTCCACAATGTCAAAGATTTTACCTAAAATAACTCCAGAAATGGGAGGATATGGGTCATCGAACACACTCCCTCGATTAAAAACGAAGTCAAATATTAATGACGGACACGCTTCAGTGAACAATCAATTTGAAGATTCCGTCGACTCCTTTATTTCGCCGAAAACGACGCCACGCATAAAGCAAAATTCCGATTTTGATGATGCTAAAGTTAGATCAGTGGGGTTAAAGGTTAAATCAAGTTTCAAATCAATTGAAGACACAGAGTATCTCTCACTACAACTCATGCAAAACAAAAAATACGAAAAATTTGCGCCCAAGATCAGGAACGGCAAACCCGGTCAAAAGGATGCAAAACCTAATAAATTCACCTGGAGATCTGAGTCCTCTAAAAGGTTTTTCACTTCAGAAACTGTCAAGGAAAGAATAAAGAGATGGGACGAAAATGTAGGTGGAGTGTGGGAGTTGAATAATGCTCTGTTTTTCGAAATTTGCAGTGTTCTAGGGTGATGAAAATTTTGAAATTCAATAGAATTACTGTTTTATGTAGATTCTGATTTCTGAGGATTCTAGCCGTGGGTCTAGCCTATGTTAGTCAATATTAACAATATGTTTGAAGCTTGTTTTTCTGCTGCATTTAGGGTTAAAATGTTAAAAAAATGCGTGGGATATCAGTATTGCTATGGTTTTGAAATTCGGAGTGTAATTCTGGGTGTTGAATAGCTTTTAGCTCAGAGGAAAGTATATTCCTGCTCAAAGGAGATGTGTTTTTGAAATTTGTTGTGTGCCGACTATTCTTAGTCTGGGAAGAAGTTATTGTTGTTACTTGGT